TCCCAAGGTCAGAGTGGTCAGAGGCGGCAGGATGAAGGTACCCTGGGAGGCACTGGTGTTCCCTGCCTGTAGCCAGGGCCCGTGCTGAGGTTGGCTCAGGATCTGTGGCCACATCAGTCACCTTCACCAGGCAGACCTCCAGGCTTCCTGTCATCAGGTCCCTCCCTCCTCCTCTGCGTCTACTCCTCAGCCACATGCCAGAATGTCACACCCTAGACCCTGCGCCATCGGAGCACCCTCAGTCTCAAGACCCCGGCTCTTCCGCGTCTCCGTCTTTTCTGGCCTCTCCCTCCCCCCAGCCCCATCACCGTCCCCTTCAGCCCACCCAGTCCACGCTGTCCTGGCCTCGCCTGGCTACATGGTCGACTCTTTATCCTTCCTTTCTTTTAAAAAAAACTCAAGTGACTGGGATCAGCAGATAACGGTTATGTCACTGGACTCCCACACAGATGACCGTGGTTTGAGTTCTGGATTCGTGGCGTGCACTGGGTGTGCATGCGTGTGTGCGTGCCCAAAATCCCTAGAGAAGAACGGAGGAGGGACTGTTGCGTGGCCATTCTCTCTGAGGGGTGATTTCTCGCTTCCTGCCTGTCTCTCTCTGCCTCTCTGTCTCTCTGTCTCTTTCTGCCTCTTTGCCGATCACACACGTCCTATAGCAAAAATCTCTCACAAAATTAAAAAAAGGAAAAATAACAAATAAAAAAATTCAAGTGACTTAAAACATACTTGTTCACAGGGAAGGGCTTGAGGCATGGCCAACCCTCTAGGGGTGACTGTTCCTTTTCTCCTCTTACTCTATCTTTCTCCAGGGAGCACCGACACCCTACAACAAACTACAAATAAATAAATAAAATCCTGGTTAGAGGGAGCGTGTATTAATTGTGGTACTCTGAGATAAAACTGAGTGTGAGCATGTTCTTCACGAGACTTCTATATATTACTCCTGCTATTAATCATCAAAGTTATGTTATTATTGTAAGTCTTAGCTTTTTGAAAAACTGAAATGAAATGTCTTAGCTTCTTATTTAGAGGGGTGTTTTTGTCTTAGGGCGTGTGCGCTCATGGAGAGGAGAGACAGAGGGAAAGTGAGAAATCACCCCCCGGAGGGATGGCCAGTGCTGCCGCCTCCATTCTCCCTGGGGATCTTGGGCACGCATGCACATGTCAAATCTTTTTTTTTTTTGGAGAGTTTTTTCGCTCTAGGGCGTGTGTGCTCGCCAGACAGACAGAGAGAGACATAGAGACAGAAAGCAAGAAATCACCCCCCAGAGGGGATGGTCACGCCGCCATCCTTTCTCCTCTCGGGATCTTGGCCAGGCACGCACACACATGGCGTGAGTTTTAAGCCACCGGGTCCGGGACATGAACCGCAGTCGACTACGTGGGAGTCCAGCGACATAGCCATTACGCTAACTGCTGGTTCCCCGTCTAGCGTGATTTTCAAGCCACTGGATTCAGGACTTAAACCGTGGTCGGCCATGTGGGAGTCTAGCAGCGTAAACACTACACCATCTGCTGGCACCTAAGTGTCTCAGCTTTCTAAAAAAATGTTTCTAAATGTCTTCTAATAGAGAGAGACAGAGAGAGAGGAAGAGAGAAAGAGGCCCCCCAACAGGGTTTTCAGTGTGATCCACCCCCACACCCCCCCGGCCTCAGCTGGTGCAGATCACAGTGCAGGTGTGCACGCAACACGTACAGGGAGGCCTCAGGACGTGACCCCGGGACCTCCCGTGTGAGTCCTGCATCAGCACAGAGCACTGTGTCCCTGCTGCAGCTGCTGTGCTGGGCAGACTGTGCCTCACTACCAGCCTCTGGTCTTTTTAGAAGACTCCCTCTGCTCAAAGGCCTTTACTGACCCAACTCCGAGCAATAGCTGAAGGCCAGCCCTCACCACGGCCCAAGGCCACTTGTCAATCTGTCCGTCTCCCAGCACTCTCCGCTTGCACTGACCCTGCTGCTCACAGATGTGACCCCTGACCCTAATGCGTCTGTTCCTGCCTCAAGGCCTTGCACTGGCCATGCAGCAGCTCGTCCCCACCCGCCCGGTGGGCTCCCTCACTGCTGCCCACTTCTGCCCCACCTGCCTGCCCTGAACGAGGGCCTCCCTCACCTCGCATCTTCCCTCCGACTGCTGAGGCCTCGGTAACACAGGACCGCCTGGCGGACTGCACGCTCACTCTGTGCGCTCGGTCTGTCTCCCCTACCCACCGAAACGCAGACCAAGGCAGACGTTTGTGAGGTCACCGTGAAGTCCTTGGCACGTGACATGTGCAAGGTGCTTCACCAACACATCCTGAATAACAAACAGCAATTATGCTTCAGGGAGTCTGTTATACTTGCCCACGTGTATAAAAATGTAAGTGAAGGGACCAGCAGATGGCGTAATGGCTATGTCACTGGACTCCCATGTAGTCGATCGTAGTTCGAGTCCTGGGCCTAGTGGCTTAAACTCACACTGGGGGTGTGTGTGTGCGTGCCCAAGATCCCGAGAGGAGAATGGAGAAGAGTGCG